GCCAGAATTTCCAGCCTGCCCTACAAATTTTGGACTTTCCAGCCCCCACAATTGTGTGAGACAATTTCCTAAAATCCATCAACCCTTTCCCCCAAGTCTGCCTGTCTATCTATTGTCTGTCTACCTACCCTACCTACCTACCTGCCTATCCCTATTGGTTTTGTTTTTCTGGAGAACCCTGAGTGATGCACCCATGTAATATTGTGGTTTAAATTTTAACCAAGGACTCAAAACCAAATAAATAAAAATAGTAACTTACCATCTACTCTTATTATCGCTTGAGTGGAAAGGACAATTTTCTACTCCCATCATAGGAAAGACGTAATCTCAGAATAAAGGACAGTCTGATTGACTGAATAAATTATGTCCTACCAAACAGCTTACTACACTGCCTTTACATTTTTCATTTTCCATGCACAGGTGGAAATGTCTGGGCCAGTCTCCTGTGCTGTAGGTGACCCAGCTTCTGACTGTGTGGGAGAAGCACCCCACTGTTACTCCTAAGAGAACAGTCTCCCCAAATATTTTCCCCTGATACAAGAATGTGGGAGAGTAATCAGATGTCAAGACGTAAAGTCCTTTGTTTCCCCCTACAAACAGTACATAGAGGATTGTAGAGCTGCTTATAAGCCAGGCTCCTTCCACCATCTTTGCTTTTTTGTTACAGAGGATGATAGAAGTATCTTGCTGTAAAAGCGCCTCATTGTTTCTTCTTAATAAAACCATACTTCCTTTATGTCTTTTCAGTTCAGTTCTGTGTTTATGCAGAGGCTGAGGAAATTTTCTATCACAGGTTTCTTAAAATTTATTATCCTTACAGAGTGTAAGAGCTGGAAGTTCCCCTAAAAATCACCAAGTTCAGTTTCACTTTCGACAGGCGAGAAATCGTTGGCTAAGAGAGGTGGAGTGGAGCCCAGAGTGGCAGAGGAAGGTTAGAACTCAAGTTCCTGAATTTCAGTTTAGCAATGGCCCTGCTCATCATAACTTCCTCTTCTTGTCTTTGCCACTTTCATTTCAGTTGACCCTTCCCCCTAGAAGAGCCCTTCTCTTTTTATATCTCTTTTTCTTTGCTTTGAAGTTACAGATCTGAAACTCTGTGTTTAGCTGTGCCTTGGCTTTCTTCCGTGTTCTGTATACCAGTGGCCTCTAATAAACCCCTCTTTATCTAGACTACACATTTCCCCACTTCCTTCTGCTGAAGCTTGATACCAACTGACCTGTAAGGGCTTGGGCTTCAAAACAGTCCTTAGTCCATCCACTCTTGCCTGTAGGACCAACTTGAAATTTTCTGTTGGGTATGGTTTTGTGAATTTTTGAGCCACAAATTTATCTGAGTTTCAGATTCTAATCTGTTTTCAGTAGTGCTCTCAGTTTAGTTTACTCCCGTTGCAAAAATATTCCTCTGTATTTACAGCAACAAAATCTGAATGCAAATCCAGAGAAATTCAATCCATGGCAAGCCATGGGTGCCAATCCCCACGTCACGTAATCAGTCTGGCCGCCCTCCCTGTTGTAGTCAGGACCTTTCCCATCCTTACATGGCAGCTGCTGAGCCCAACACTTCTCTTGAGCTTCTGACCCCATCTTTTCCTTTTCCCTCTTAGAAAATAGAAATAGCCAGGTAGGGACTTTCTCTACGTACTCTCCAGTGACTCTCACTCAAAGACTTTCATCTGCAGTTTTATCTTCTCTCCAACTCAAAGCCTGAGACGACCCTAAACCTCTTCAGAGATGCTCCATTCTAGGTGTGTGATACTGTTCTGCCTCTTCAGGATTCTGGTCCTTTGATTATTGCTACCTCTCCGGAGATCTTTAGCCTTTCCACTACATCTGTCTTCTCAGTATTTATTCATGTTGAAGTGCTTCCCAGGTTGAAACAAAACAAAACCTTGGGCCCACAATCCTGACTTCCTCACTTTCCTGGTTAAATTTTTTAGAAGTTACTTCAAATCTACTACCCTGCTTTCCCACCCACACTTCCACTCATTGTGATCTACTTCTGCACCCCTAGGTCCAATTGAAACTGTTCTCATTGAATCCCTTGTTGCCAAATGCAGTGGACCTTTTTCGATCCTCATATATTTATCTCTGGGCATAACCCTTTTCAGTTGGCCAATAAAGACTTGTTGGCTTTTATAATCCCTTAGACTCAAAGCCTACAGGGCTTATTAAGAGTTCCTGGAACACAACAAAATCTCAATTTGATGAAATAATTAAAATGGAAAATAGGTGGGAGCCAAATGGTAAGGGCTTTTAATGCTGAGCTGTGAGGATTGATTTTCATTCTCTAGGCAGTAGCAATCTAGAGAAGTCTGAGCAGGGAAGAAGTGTTATCACATCTTTTGGGAAGTAAACTCTGGGACAGTGGATGGTTTGGAGCCATGGGTTGCAAAGTGCTGTGTAGACCAGCAGGATCAGCATCACCTGGGAATTTGTCAGATGAAATTCTTGGGTCCCACCCTTGATCTCCTGATTCAGAAACTCTGGAGGGGCAGCCATGTGACGTGTACTTCATGAAACTCAAAGTTAGGGCACCACTGGTTTCGAGGAGAAGCAGAGTAAGTGCTAGTCATCAAATGCCTGAAATAGTCATGGAGGTGTTGTGGACAGTGGAGTACGTGGAGACAATGCGTACTATTCAGTCACTGGATGAGAGCCTTGGGCATTTTTTAGGGGTGGGTAGGTCGCTACTGATTTAGAGGACACGCAATCCTGGTGCTCCCTCTTAAGTCCATGCACTTGTTCATTCAACAAATGCCTGCTGGGCTGGGGTCATTTAGTACTACCAGGGAGAACACAGGCCAAGCCCAAAGCTAAAGTTATGGTCATCATTATTTCCTCCAAGATGCTGGTAGACACAAACTGTGAGCACTTTCAATAATTAGAAGAGGATAGTAAGAAGTTCTCCAAAGTCACCCCACCTGTGAATAGTGAATGCTTTAAACAAGAAAACTGACATCTATGTTACCAAAAGGTTTAATTTCTCTTCAGAATCTTCCCATCAGTTTCAGCTGACCCAACAGGCAGACCATGTCCTGAGGAATAGTTTAGGTATGTGGTGGCTCTCAGCAGCTCACTTTAGAAACCAGTTTTGTAAGATCTCAGAGCGGGAGAGCATCGGACATGGAGCCAGTGGATGAAGTGAGGTGTAGTAGAATTCTCAGTTGAGAGCCTGAGAAGGTAACTGGTTGATTTAGGCTGAAAAGGAGTTTATTCAATGGGCAGAGATCACCCAGGAAGCTTGGAAACCGGGCAGCAACAAAGGTGATTTAATCAGCTGCCAGATTCAAGACCAGTCACACAAAGCAATGGCTACTCAACACCAGATGCCAGGAGCTTACCAGTTGCCCCCACTAGATGTGGGTACCAGACGTTTGTTTCCCCTGTTGGTAGTTAAGACGCTGCTGCTCTCAACATGGATCCTCCTTTATCCAGTTTCTTTGCTTTACCAATTAGGGTGGAGTATCCCAGATGCAAGGGAGGTCAGGTTAAGCTTTTGTTTCTACAGGTAAAAGTGGTCTGTGCCAACTGAACACTGGAATGGGATTCAGATGCAGAGCACCCCCACCCTCTGGCCAAAAAAAAGAAAAAAAGAAAAATCCACTGATGTGAACTTGCAAGTCATGTGGAATTTAAGATAGAAGGGATCTAAGACATCTAAATGAGATTCCAAAGATGAAACCTTTTGAAAACTTTTAACAGTAATTTAGAATCCCAATTATATAAATGATTTAGAAGGCGTCATTCTGCCTGCAGCTCTCCCTTCTTTCTACCCAGCATACTCACACCTACTTGCCAGTCTCAGACACCCGCACAGAGTTCCAGGTCCTATAATGACGTTTAAAAATGAGGACAAAGAACAAAGGCGATGGAGCTGCAGTAGGCTTACATGCTTGCTTTAGCGTAGTGAATTCAGGCTTAGAAAAGTTTAAGGGATGAATTTCCCTTACATCACAAGGTAGTTAAAGCTACACAGGAGAACAACTTCAACTATGGTCCGGTGCTCTTTCCAGTACTTTCTCCAAACCAGACTGTCTTTGCTGCCTCTTCTGGAAAAAGAGTGGTTGGACTGTTAAACTTTGAAGAGACCTTAAGGACGATTAATATTCTTTTAGCAACCCATTAAATGTTTCAATTCTCAAACATCCCTTATTTTGTAATCTGCCTCTGATCTCTTGTACAACTGTCTTTGTTTCTTAGTTCTAAATTATTTATTACTACAAAGTATATAAATTACTTTAACAATTATTTGTGGGAAAAATTGTAATATAATATTCAGATTCATAATGCTAACCACAGGTAATTTGAATACTTTAATTTCTATTTTTACTATCACTTTAAAAGCCAATTTAAAAATACTTGTAACAGCTTTATTCATATGGTCCTAAACTAGAAATGACTCAAATGTCCATCAACAGGTGAATGGACAAACAAATTATAATACATACAACAGAAGACTAGTCAGCTAAAAAAGAGAAAATGAACTGTTGATCCTTGCGCTAAAATAGATGAATTTCAAAGCTGCTAGATGAGTGAAAAAAAGCCAGAGGCAAATGAGCACATCCTGAATGATAACATTTATGTAAGGTTGTGAGGCAGGTAAATGCAAATTATGGTGACAGGGGTGAGAACAGTGGATGGGAAATGGGGACTGAAGAGATTCCAAAGGGGCCCAGAGGGGTTATGGTTACACAGTTGCATACATCTGTTAAAACTCAAACACACTTAAAATCTGTGTACTTATTGTACGTAACGTATACTCCAATTTAAAAAGTAGCATAGACTGTGTCTAGAAAGACAGGAATCTTATTTCCTGCTTCTGAATTCTTGGGGCAGAGGAAATATTAAGTATCAAAGAGAGATTCTCACAAAAAATTAAGATCAGAAACTGTTAGATAACAATTTTAAGTAGGATCCATAAGCCTGAAAAACAAAACTTTTTCTTTAGGTCAATCATTAAAAAAAATACGTATACTTGAAATTATCCACTGAAGCTAACAGATAATAAAATATTTATTTTATTGTTGTAAAATTAAAAATAGTAGACAAGCATATGTAGTTACAGTCCCAAAGCAGAGCAATACAAATATATAAATTATTGCAGTTTTAAAAGAAAGTGTAACAGCCAAGTAATTTCTAAATAAACTGTTTTGAAACCAACTTGGTTTTTACTACTGCAGCTTCATTTTCTTTTCCCAAATGTCTCAGCACAATTTTGTATGGATTTCTAGTCAGATTTAAAGCAAGGTTAACACACACACACACAAATCATAAAAGTAGGAATGGCATTTAACAGAAGTCACTACTGAACACTTTCTAAACTGCCTCTTTTGAAGTAGCAGAATGGAGAACATTCTACACATGGTTCAGGAAAGAAACACATTTACTAAAATTCTCTTAACTTTTTCTGCAGTTGAGGAAAGTTCAATTAACACTTTTGAAGGGAAGGTGGAGGGCAATACTCATCTTCATGATTTTTTAATCTGCTTTACTTTCGTAGGGTTAAAACTGTGGGCTAATTCAATATCACTAAAATGCACTTAGTAATCTGGATTCTTAAAAAGAACAGGAAAGTGTATGTTACAAACTAGTGGCTAAAGAAATCTTAATGCTAGAGACTTGCTATGATATGGTTCATAGCAAGGTGATGGAGCTGCTTAATAGGTTAGACTACATTATAACAGGGGCAATTATGAAAGAATGAAGTGAATGGAAATTCCAAGAACTACATTACAGCCCTCTTCCAAGATACCTTTGCTTGGGCCAGAGCCCAATTACCTTATTATTCTGGTAAATAAACTCTCTCCCACCCCACTACCACCAATTTCCTCAAATAATTATTTCCACCAACCTAAAGTTAAAAATGCAATTAAGCATTGGAGTGAATTCAATTATCTTTGCTTTACAGTCACATCTGAACAGAAGATATTTTTTAAAAATACTGTGGAGTACTAAACTTTTTATTAAGTACTTAAAAATACTCAAATATCTGACCTTAGCATAAAAATAACACTAAAAGAACTTTACACTGTACCATTTGAAAGTTTTCATGTCATGTAACCTAATTTTATGGTCACTAACCTGAACCTCCTACTAAGCTACACAAATAATTTATTCTTTAAAAGTTCCTACTGAAGTTTTGAGCATATACATTTTGCATTCCATTTTACATTAATAACACAAGCAGATTTCGTCTAAAACAAGACAAAATAAAACCAAAACTGATCCCAAAATATTAAAAAAAAAAGACACCCAAAACTAGCAAGCCTCAAACAGTGTAAACACTAAAAAATATATAAACAAAAAGAATGCACTTTAAACCACTTTCACTGATAAAGAATACAGTAAACTAAAAAACCCGAGAAATCTCAAGATGCTTGTCAAGATGCCAACAACAAAATAGAATATATTTTGACTCTATTTCTTAAATCACTTCCCAACATGACCTTATTTAAAAAATAATCCTCAAATGTATATAAGAATGGGCACTTTGTGGTAAAATGAACATATACTTTGAAAAACATTAATAACATTATCTCGCTCCAACACTGTATGTTAACAAACTACACAGTGAAACACAACACAGTTCTGCTGCCTGTGTGCATCATCTAGTATTGGTGTCTTACGTGCATGGCTTTAAAAAAATGACTACTTTGGACACTAAATGCTAGGATCAAAGGATGATAATCACAAAGTAAATAAGAGTTTTAGCTTAATTAAAAGATTGAAAGGATTTTAAATCTTTAAAGAGAACAATTTTGTGTGGTCAAAATCGCTTTCAACTTCAAACTGACTTTTTAAACTTAATTCAACTTGTCTAGTTGTAAAATCGAAAGAGAAAAAATATTAATCATTTCACTCCCCTTAATTAAGCTCTGAAATTGTTGGTAACAGCTGACTGGCAGTCTCTCTTTTGTCATTTTTGAAACTGAAGGTATATTTGAGATTTTTCTTCTAAACTTCCTCAAAAGTACTAACAGTTATGCAGAAAAATAGCCAAATATGGTAACCAGCATTCGTAGTATTTCTTATTCTCTCATGGTAGGTAGAACTCAGCTTTATCCCATTATCCTTATTTTAGCATATGCAATAATTGCATATTCAAGAAGACTAACTTAGGAATATAAAATATGTTTACCAAATATTTGGCTGTGCAAAATACTTTTGACGATATTTTTCTTACTAGAATATCCATCCAAATTAAGTACTAGTGTGAGTACCAGCACCGCAGATATTTTTTAAGAGCACCTTTCCTTTGAAGAGCTTAAGTAGAAATATCTAAATGGAGTAAATCAGAGTCCCCAGTTAAGACCTTGGTACACGTACGATCCCATCTAATTGTGCCAAACTCACTAGTAAAGCTACATATTTGCCAGAAACTCTCTAGGAAATAAGCAAACACTTTCTTTGGGTAACAATGTTGTATCTGGGACTGCACAGATGGCTCATATTCTGGAAACAAGCTGCTACTTACATCAAATGCAACACATACCAAACTTTTAACGCCTGTCCCTAAGTGATCTCACTAGAAGCACAGATGTGTGCAAGCACACTGGCTGGTAACATTCTTAATGAATTGTGCCAAAAAATAGTAAACTCAAATTTGAAAATAGGACCACAACAACGAAGCACTGAGATACTTACCGGGATCACCAGGAATGTCTTTATTCAATTTACAAACTGATAGAATTTTGATATTGCACACACTCAATTTAAAGCTTATTAAAACTAAGGCAATGCATCCTCACTCCCTGGATTTTAAATTCATTTTGGATGACTCAAAGAACTGAGAGAAATTGAAAGTATCTTTCAAGAGCTCCCTCCAAAAAGCAGTTATGTCATATTTCAGAAACAAAACAAAACAAGACAAAACAAAATCAGTGAGTTGTCAATTAATATCCTCAGGTAAATTTAACACATTTTAGCATCGTAAAAAGTTGTTTTCTACTAGACTGAGGTGTTTCTTTGCTTAGTCAAATACTGTTTATGTTAAAGACTAAAATCAGACCCAAGCTAGGGCAGGCTGCCAAATTCAAGGCAGAAGTCATTCACATCTTTATGCATGAAGCTGCCAAGTTAATGGGCCTTTCTGTGGATTCTTTCAAGCAAAGGATCTTACGTCGTAAATATATTCTAAGCACCAGTTGAAAATAGAATTCAGAGCCCATTTTAATTTTGCACTGGTTATAGCTTTTACTATAATACGTTATTTGAAAAATTATCTAGCTGTTTGAGACAAACTGTTAGTTCAGAACTCTTTGGAAACATGATAGACAACAAATAAGAATATCCTTCTAAAAATGAGCTTTTTTTTTGAATTAAGAGTTTTGTTTTTCTGTGTCAAACAGTCTTCTCTTTTCCTTTAGATTCTAAAGTTTAGAAAAATACCTCACAATGCTTTCTTTGGGCAATACTTTCAGTGATGCTGATAACGGAATTTGGACAGCTGAAGGAATTCTTGAACCTTTATCCAAACTGGCATACAAAATGATTTTAATTTTTTTCAAAGATAGGACAACAATTTCATGGCACATTCAATTTGAAGACAGATACTACATTTGACTTGGAAGTGAGGCTTGACTTAAACTCTGTCCAAATCCTAACACATCAAAGTCATTAGAATGAAAGCAATAATGATGTAGATAGGCTTTTACTTCTCTGAAGACAAGCTGACATACAAACACTAGATCAGCACTTCTTCCTGAACTAATTCATAACTGCTTTTGTTAGAAAAAAATAGTATCTTTTATTTCCCTGCATACCTGCTTTAAAAAGTTATTAATTCCTCTTTCATAAGAGTTATCAGAAGTCAGAACAATTCAACTAGATAGATTTCTATGCCAAAATACATTTATCTTTGGAAAACAAGATAACAGTTGTAAAAACAGTATATTAAGAGAATAAAATGCAGCGATCTGAAATATGGGTAACATACTCACACATGAAAGTGTAAATATAATATACAGAGCCATTCAAATACATATTTATAAAGAGAATGAAAAGTTACCTAAAATAGTATTTTTATATATAAAATTTTCATATTAAAATATTGCTCATAATAAATAAGAGGTGGTATTATGAATTCCATTTCCCTCTTAGAAGTTTAGTAGTTCAGACTAATCTAAGAACTCTGTAAACCTTCTATTGTTTTGACAGGTGAATTACATTAAAATATGCTTAATAAAATCACACTGTAACAGTATATTGAAGTAGTCACAAGTGGTAAAAGTTAGGGAGGGCCATTTCGTAACTATGGGAAAAAAAATTCCCAAAATGAACTAAAATGATTAACCCTAGAAGGATAGAGTGTAATGATCTGCCTTATTTGACAAAGATGTTAAATACTGCCTTAAGCTTTGCAAATGTAATGACCATAAAATAACTGACCATAACTCTCTCCAACTTCTTCCGAGCGTGCATGCCTGGCAGACCAAAGAACGGCAGGGCACAGGAAGTGAGTGTAAGTTTAGTTCAGTTGTTTATGGGTAGGTGTGACTTCATTCCTGTCCGTCCCACTTGCAGACATGGTAACTTGGAATAGTTCTTGAGAAGCTGTTCGATGGCAACGTGGCGGACGTGGAGCTGTGAGGCCAAAGAATCTTTTTCTTGCACTTGGTGGGCTAACTCTTCAAAAACTTCTGTTAAGAATTAAAAAGTAGTTCCATTTTTAGTACAAAGAAAGTTTATCCTCTGACATATTTCAAGTCCTCTAACTGAAATGAATGCACTGGACAAACATTTGCAATGAAAGTGGTTTGACTACAAAGAAACAGTTGTGTTCTGATCATCCTAGGAAACTGTATAGTTTGTGTAGCCAACTGGAACACTGTATTCCTCTTCTCCCTCAAATGAAACGTGCGAGTCATAAGAATGACTACAGAGACGCACAGCAGAAACGGCAGGTGCAACCACCTCTGAGACGCTGCTCAATGTGAATACATACATAGGTCCAATCAGTATCTAATGTGACTTACGAACAGCAAGGTGTCCGTTAGTATCCAGGTGTGGAAACCCCTCTAAGAGGATCTGGAATCAGACTATCTGGATTTTTGAATCTTTGTCCTGACTTGTAAGAGTCTCAGGCAAGTAACAAACTATGTTTTAACTTCCTCTTACGTATAGCCCCAATAAGAAAGTAAGCACCTCACAGGGTTACTGTGAGGATTAAATAAGACATACTTGTAAGTATTTACCATAGAATAAGTACCTGATAAATATAAGCAGCTATTACTATTATTATTATTATTTTACTATTCTGAGAGGCTGGGTGGTCAAAAAAGACCACACTAATTTTGGAGTTAAAAAGACAGAGGTTAGAATCCTTACTCCATTACTGACTGAATGCATGATCTCTGTAAGTAAGCAACGTCTCTGAAGTGCCATTCCCTCACCTAAGTAGGAACTGTGGGAACAAAAAAATAGAGACATTTGGGGAATTTGGACACTAACTGTTAACTCCTAACATTATCCTGTTTGATGTTAACAAATTATTAGCTGGTTTTTTTTTTTTTTTTTTACGGTGTGACAATGAGGTTATCATTGCCTAAAAAAAAAGTTACATTTTGGAGAAAATCCTGAAGTGTTTACGGACAAAACAGTATGTTGTCTGGGATTTGTTTCAGAATAATATGTGCTGGAGATGTGCGTAGGGCGAGGAGAATGGGTACAGGTAGAGATGAAAGAAAACTACTACACTTCTGGTAATACCTGAAACTGGGGAAGATGGGTCAAGGGTTTCACTATACTATTCTCACTACTTCTGTGTCTGAAATTTTTAATAATTAGAACAAAATAGGGCCAATACCACCTGTGGTTCTTTAAGAAACTGCTAAGGAGCACACCTGTACAGTGCCTGGCACAAAAACATGTAGGTAGTCAAGAACATGTTAGTAAGAGGTAGACATTAAGCTGTGGTCTGTTTTCACTTAAAAAAGAAAAACCTATTTCACCTGCAGTTCATAAATTGTTTTCTTCTTTTTGCTATGGAAAGTCTGACAGGTTCTAATCCATTTCTAAATTTTAATTGCAGATGAAGCTAATAGGGGATTTTCTGTATCAAAATCTGCACAGGTAAAAAGCATTGACACTGAGTCCTTTACCCTGTATTTGCTGTTGGAGCTCTGCATTCAGTTGCTTTACTTCACCGAGAGTCATCGAATTCACTGAAACATGAAAATATATTCATTATTACCAAGACAGGAAAATAAGTCGTCTACACCACCAACACAATGTCCTATTTAAAAAAAATTTGCACTCATCTCCCAACATAATGTTCGGCAGGACCCTAGGATTCATTCATTCGCTCCTGCAGTGTTGAGTTTTTGAAACCTGACCACAACCCATAGGAAGAAACATATTTTCCATCTCTCCCAGTCTACCTCCACCTGAAACAAAAAGTTCACTGAAAAATACTTAGCATTAGGTCCACTGGATTCTGATATTTCCCGTTCTGTTTCAGTTTTCAAAAAGTGCTAGTCACCACCCATCTACCTGATTTTGCTCAAGCACTACATGTTTCATGATCTGCAGCCTGAAAAACACTTAAGTACTGTGGAAACAGTTTGAAAAATCAATTTATCTAGCTAGCTACAAAACTTAGATAATTCATACACAGAATCAAAGAGTTGTATAAAAAAATACCCAAGTGCCCTTGTAGCTCTAAAATCACTTGATTTTAAGTCAATTAAAATTATCTCAGCTTCTGTGAGTTTTTGTAGAAACAGACGCAGACTGAATGAGTCACTTTTTCCAAGTGCACACGTTACCTTTGGCCTTTAATAAAATGTCATATTTTTGCTTTTGAAATGCCACCCCCAATTAGTCTTGTAGGGATTAGCAACGTGACAATGTGTGTTCATCAATGGCTGAGGCTGTACTTCTGAACTCTATGAACCTTGAACTTTCCAGTTCACAGTTTGTTGAGTCTATTCCATTAGTAATTTAAAATGGCAAAGCAAATGATGGCACAACATAATTTTAATGCTTCAGGATATACTGAGGAATATTCTAGAGAACTGACAGAGTTTTAAGACATCTCATTTTTGCTAGGGTGAACCCTTCACTTAAATTTGGTGTTTGCCAAGTCTACAATTCCACAGCAAAATTCTTGACACATCACATATGAAATGTAAAAACAACAACAAGACTTCAACCTTCACCTTTCTCTCCCCATCTTACTTACGTTTCTCTCTGCTGTAATGTGCATGCTGGCTCCGGACATTAGCCTCTGGATTAGAGTCTGTCTCTTCTTTTTTCTGTTCCTGGTTGTGACTACGAGGCCACGATACACTATTGTGGCATAAAGTGGCACCTGAATCTTGTAACATTGCAAGTCCAAAGTCCGCATTTTCCCTCCGTTCCAATATTCTTTGTGTACAGTTTGAGAGGCCACCTGCACTTCCATCTATCCACTTTGCAGAATACTTTGGTACTTGAGAGTCAAACTGTGGGAGTAACTTTTTATCTGGCTTATGCCTGAAATTAAAGAGGTGGTGCTGGGGATTTTTAGAACATTCAGAATCTGAATCCAGATCCTTATTTTGTGCATACTGTACAATCCAATTTATCTTCTTACTCAAGATAGCTTTAACTTCTTCATAAGTACTTTTTGAAAGCTTAGATCGAGGACAATCTTGGTTTGCAATCAAGTGGTATTTTTCAAAGCAGTCTTTATGGCCCCTTAATGATTTGGTGTGCAAGAGATTAGATTTTGGTATTCCTAAAGAAAAAAAAGAAACAGAAGACTTGAGACAATTTTGTTTATAAGTTGCATTAAGAAATACAAATCTTAGTAAAAATCAGCCACTGATAATGTGTAAATTAGAGAAAAATGCTAAAGAATATTGATATTAATAGTATAAACTATGGCCTAATAATTTATGCTTCAGTTTACCTCTATATTCAGTAACATTAAATTCTTATGAGTAGCGAAGCCTTTTTAAGGACTTAATGACTCAATTTCAACCTTAGTCCAGAGGTATATTATTGCACAATAATAAAAAATGCTACTGAACCTGCAATTTACACTTACAGAATCTTGGCCTTTACATTATAGTGTTTTCTTCACTGATCTTCCTAAAGTACACACTTGCAAAAAATTCCTATTATAGGCTCAGTAAGAGAAATGCTTGACAATTTTCTTCTCAACAAAAAGCACAGTAAGTCATCATCTTAAATTATTAAGGTTTTTACTGGGGAAAGATAAACCAGAACCAGAAAAATACACATTAACAAAGGCCTCAAAAAGTCAATGAAATGTTTAAATTTTTTTTTAAGTAAGAAAAGCATCTAAAAATATTCTCACATTTTTGATACTTACTAAAACTTTAACAAGATAATTTCTTCTAGAGATAAAATTACAATTATTTTTCATATAGCAACAAATTCAATCTACCAAGATACAATAGCCAGTATAATTGTTTAACTGATAAATGTTCATTACACCCCATAAATAATGGAAATATTCTTGTTACACTTTTATTATCTCCCAACTTTTTATAGAGCTTAAGTATGCTATCTCAAATGTTTAAAACTTACAGAACACATTTTCAAATATATGACACACTTAGAAATACAGAATATATTCGTATGTTTTCATAAGTTCAAGCTATTTAAAGTCAAACAGCAGTGCTTTTATTACTGGAGGTGAATAAAGGATGTGGAACTGAAAATTAACGCCAGCAGAACTAACCAGTCTAAATCTGCTTAGCTTTGAAAACAGAGTAAGTGGGGAGCCACTCAGGTGCTACATTAAAAAACAAAAAAAGTTTTAGCTGACTCATCAGGAAAAATTACATTCTGTATTAATCCTTTGTTTTAGAAACTGAAGTCGTAACAATTTTATTGACTGAACTCTGAACTCTAGCTATTACTAAGAAAATGAGGCATCTGCACTTTAATGGTATTAAATTAGGTATAAAAGTGCTTGAGAATATTAGTTTGTTCTAAAACGATATAACATCAGCCAATGGTGGGTCCTGCTGAGACTGCCAAAAATAGCGCTAAGCGGGCTCTGTCAGCTCCCTCACAAGTGAGCCATGGGAGTAGGCATCCTAAACACGAACCGGGAACAACTGCTCTCACAAGGTAAACTCAAGTATCTTAGCCTTGCTTTTCCCACTGAGTGCAAAAATTGAACTTAAAGAAAATTTCATACACATTTTATTTACCCCTCTGGTACCCGTACTGCAATTGTGTGTGTATATATTTTTTACCAGTTATTGTCTGGTTAGGCCAAATCTCCAGCAAAATTAACATATTTAAGTGCAAAACCTCACAGCTCTATTTGACAACACAACGTACACCTTTCAAAACCTGGTGAAGTAACAAAGGAACTTCACAAAACTTGACTAGAATAAAAATATTAAAAGTTTTGTTATTATGTATGTTTTAGATCTTAGTAAGACAAAAAAGTGGCTGGTACCAATTACAGACCAAAAAAGAAATACCTCCGTTCTGCTGTTTGATTCTAATACTGCTAGGCAGAGAGAACCTAACCTGAAGCTTACTTTAGTAACTTTGGAAAACTGATCAAATAGCTTCCTTATTCTCTATACAACTCTCTTCGGTCTCGTTGCCAGCAGATGGCTAGCCAATCCCTGAAACAGTAAACGGTCTCATTCTCACTCAGTTCACGGCCACAGCACTAATTTCACGTGGCAGTGATTTAGCTGAACCTAAACACTGTAAATTACAAGTTTCTCTTTCACTATTAAAGGAAATCTTTCAGCATATAAAAAGGGTTCTAAACTAGGCTACAGAAAGTCATTATTTTTTGCTGTTAAATTTTGTTTTTTGGGGTTTTAAAAAAATTTATTTGGAATGTTCAGAAACTGAATTAAAGAAAAATAAAAAATTATACAGAACAATGGATTTCCTGACATACCCTAGAGCTTCAATAGCATGTTAGTTAATACAATATTTGTTTATTTGAAAAATAACGTGGGCTTTTAAAATTAAAGGTTTTTCTTTTTAACCCAATGCTCTTCTTAGTAATTCATGTAATACAACTTTTTGTTCTCTAGAAATAACTTCATTTAACTTTTACTTAAATTCCCAAATTAATGCCTGGAATCCAGTAATACGTCATTATATGCATATTGGTAACCTGCTGAGATGAACAGCAAATCAGACAACTACAATACTCAATCTACTGTGAAAATACATAAAGGTAAAATAATTTTCAGATTCAGACATTCAGGTGAAAAAATCCCTTACAGAAGACATAAAAAAAAGAAAAACACCCCATCATAGCAGGAAGAGTTCTGAGCACAGGCAATACCTGTACTTAAATGTCTCACAGGCTCCTCAATCTCACCCTGCCTAAATGAAACTCTTCTTCCTCCATTCTTACCATCAAATCCCAGCCCCGATCCTTTTCCTGAATCTGGCACCATCAGCTGATCAAAGAAACCTGGATGTCTTCCTTCACAGCATCTTCCCACATCACCATCCCAGATGTCTTACTGTCCATCTGAATAGATTTTTGCCCCCTGAAATCTAGCAGTACAACATCTTAAATCGTCCTTCACTCCATTACCACTCCCACTACATTATCTGGGCCATCACCATCTCCGGTCTAGTTCTCACTTCCTCTAAGAAGCCTTTTCTAATCAATAACATCTGAATTAATCACATCAGATTTTACAACTGTTTCTTCACTGGCCTTTATCTCCTGCTAGGAGGTAACTGCTATGAGAAAGGGGACCATATCTGTTTTTTGTGCATCCTCACTGTCATAGTGCCGAGCACTTAGTGAGTACTCAACAAAACTAATTAAATGAATAAAGAAAAATTAAAATTATATTGAAATAAACCCTAAACTTATTACCAATTATTTGAGGTCTACTGCAATGAAGTTTTGTCCATCCTAGTAAGGTAAGCAGAATGTGCAGTTTTGCCAGGCTCTCAGAAGTTGTTACTCCTATGTTTAGTTTAATGTGCCATTAATTCCAAGAACTGATGAGTGGCACTCATATAGAGAAGGCACTCCTGTGTTATTATTTGATCTGCCAAACAAATCATGAACTTCTACTCAATTACATGTTTTTATTAGAAATGTACATGCAATGAGTATACAATAAGGCTGTTTTATGTGAATTGTAGCTCCTTCATCCAGATCTGTACTGATATCTTCTTTAGCTCACTAAAAATTTAAAACTTGAATGAGTTTTAAAGTTCAATTCGAATATTTGTTTTGTAAACATAGTTTAAAATATCCCATGCAGTGGCATATGAAACAAAATTTCAAAAAATATAATATACTAACTACTTCATATATTTGGACAAATTACTTTTTAATCTAGAAAAGAATGTGAGTAGCCCATTTAATCTGTATCAGCAAGATATGTGTCATTCTATAGACTCCTGAAGTGATTTTGTTTTTTCCACCTCATCAGTTTGAATTAATATAAGAGAAACAACCACTGCTATTATTAGAGATCCCAGTGAGTTTCCCAACTGACTTTACCATTTTAATTGCATTTACACGCGTAAACAGCTCTGAGCACTAATTTGTTTCTTCAGCAGCTTTTGAAAGGTGATGAATCCAAATGCAGTTAAATGAGTTGATACTTTTGAGGAACTGAGTTATAAGTAATACCCAAGCCAGTTCAACAAAAATCACACTACAACTCCCTTAACTGATAAAAATCCTGAGGGCTAATGTAACTGACATCTTAACTACCACAAAAACTTCAAAACATAACTCAAAGATGTCCACGTGACTTCGTGTTTTGAGTTCATGGTTTTAGAGAACCAAGACCTTACCTGACAACGATAATTGCTAATTTTTTTTTAACATATGTACTAGTTTCTTCTGGATAGAGGCTTTTAGAAATTTATATAGGCAGTATATTTCTGTATGAACAGTGGTATTTTAAAAAGTTAAGCTGTTCCTATTCAATAGTTTTTTTTTTAAAGTCTTTTCCCACTTTCATTTCTGATTTTGTTACACCATTCTCACATACTTTGAAAACCCTCCCACTAACCCATCTGGCATGCTATCCCCATTTCTATTCTTTAAATTCCTCTTTAGGATCAATATGCTTTAAGAAAACTTAAACCCATAAAAGAGCAGAAGCCACTCAACTGTAGATCTTTCTGTCTACCTATCACTGTCATCCTTTTAAAATAAAGGTATTTCCACGCTTACATTTAACATGCCTATCATAGTAACATAATTTTTCCCTCTCATATGATGATACTAAATAGCCACAAAACCCAAAATACTTGAGTTCTATCACATGTCCCATTACATTCTGCTTTTACCCCTAGCCTCTTAAGAAGACCTTATTTATGACTTGGTGGTAATCATAAATACGTTAGGCAAGCTTCCCCTGACCGTTTCCCAGCTAGTCCTGTCAAACAGCACCATCTCTCAGCCGACTACGCTGATGCTACATAGCTTTTACTTCACATTCTTGAATTGTATCATCTGACTGCCTCATGCATGTTTACTCTGTCAATTAGCTTTCCGTCTGAATTTGACTACCATATTTCACTTCCTAATTAGAGGACTGGTTTCATATAATTTGGTATCCCATAGGTAGAGTAAATGTATCATAACCAATAGTTGGATGCTAAGCTGTAATGCACACATCATCGTATCAGTAGGAGACTGTGAAGTGCTAAGGCAGTAAGCACTTTTACTCCAAACTTAAAAAAAAAGCAAAAAACAATTAGAGGACTGGCAGTATTGGTTTTCCAAATGGTAGGTTT